ACTAATTTAACTAAATAAACTTAAGAAACTAAGTAAACTTAAACAACTATATAAACTTAGTTAACGACGTTATCATCATTTCCGAGGTTTCAGTCGTTTTGGTCGTCGGGCTGCGGCTTAAGAAATTACGGCTTTCTTTAGTAGTGATCTGCAGAATTATAATAGCAATCACTTTTTCGAATTATCTCTGCTCCTATTGGTCCAATAACCTTGTTTTTATATTTGTTGGAAAGCTCTCGATGAGACGGTTCTAATGATTGTATTTCCATCGAAATTGTAATTATTAGGTCGAAAGTTATTTCATTTAACAATATGATGTAATTTCGATCATTTCAACTTTTCATTTTGACTTTGACATTCAAAGTCAAAATATTTTGACTTTTTGGGTTTTCATTTCAACTTCATGTATAACCAGGATGTTTCTAAACAAATTTTCAATGAAGTTAAAACAACCTGATATATTTGTTACAATTGTTATGAACTTTATGATGGGCATTTAAATCATCGACCTAGATCTGATAAGCGAACAATTACTTGTGAAAAATGTGAACTACATAATGATGATACATTTAAAAGTTTGAAATTATTAGTTCAATGACTTAAGCATATAGCATATAATAAAACAGAAAAAAAAATCATTTTAGTTTCTATGTTGATTTCAGCTTTGAATTTTTTATTTGTCTTATCCGAATCTTTTTTCTTAAATTACAAATATTATAATCTTAGAGATAATACATGTTATTCAAATCTTGATGAGTGTGTCAATAAAAAAGATTCACAAATAATTATGATTTTATCAAGATTACCTAATTATTTCTTTTTAAAATTATTATTGAATATTAATCATATAGTTGAAGTTATATATCAAAAATTAGATCGGACAACTAAAAAATGGAAAGAAATTGAAAAAAAATTAAAAAATAAAGTATAGAATACATGTAATATCATTATAGCAAATAAGCCAGAAATACAATTATCAACCTCTCTTTATACATATTATACAAGTTTTCCAAAATTTTTAACAAGATTTTTTAATGGAATCATTGGTGAAATTTTTAAAAAAAATTATTGATTTTGAATTTTAAACGAAAATAACGTAACAAACCTTTAAAACAATTAGATAAAGAATATATTATTAAATATGTAACATTTATTGTTTCACTTATTACAAGAATGACATTTTCTTATCTTGGTATTTAGTTCAAACAAGTAATAACAAGTAGAGTTCCGCAATTTGATTTGATATTTGAATATTTGATTTGATCAAATTCAAATTAAAGAATGATTTATTTGATCAAATCCAAATTAATGTTTGATTTAATTCGATCAAATTCAAATTAAGTATTCAAATATTTGAATTGATTTGAATCAATAGTAAAGCTATTTCCAAAGCTTCAGAAGTAGCTTTTACTAAGAAAACCATAGTAAAAAGTGCCTTCGCAGTTTCAGAAATGTCTTTTTTACTAAGAAAACCATAGTAAAAAACGCCTTTGCAGCTTCAAAGACATTTTTTACTAAGAAACCTAATAAAAAAATGCATTTGTAGCTTCGGAAACGTTTTTTTAATAATAAAATTATTACGAAGCTAAGATAGCAGTTATTACTAAGTTTTCTTAGTAAATCAAAGCCACGATGACAGTTATTATTAAGTTTTCTTAGTAAAACCGAAATAGCAGAGTTATTTTACTAAGTTGAATAGTAAAAATTCACCTGTTAGAGAATCACAGATATTATGTAATATCATATAGGGGGGAGGAGAGGTCAGAGATTTCTTATGTGATACAAAATTCCAAAAATAGAAATACATAATATATGATATATCCACTTTCTATTGGACAATACTGGGTTATATGGTATAAGAAAAAAAAGCACGAATCTTAAATTTTTACAAAAGTTTTATTTTATTTAATGTTTTGTTTTATGCAAAATCCTAACTCTATATTTTATATAAGAGCAACATGTATATCCTATTGCTAATCTAAAATGAGTTACTTTGATTACGTCTTAGAATGAGCGAAACATTTATGATTTATGAGAAAAACATGAGAAGGGAAATATTTTTTACATATATTACATTCAAGCTTTGCATATTATTCAATACTAATTGAAGGGCGATACTTATCGTATTTCATTGATTTTGTTGAATCTAGGTATTGTACGGCATGTATTGGATTCAAAAATAGTTGTCTTTGCCTTGAATTACTAATGAAAGGAAGCCATTTATTTGTTTGAAAAAGAGGCAACTTCGGAAACTCATTTTTGTAAACAACATTCTGGATTTGCATATTTTCGTATTGTTATCTTACGATACTAACGACTGAAAATTAGTATTAACGCAAGATTAACAAGAGATTTAGCTTTAAGACTTTTATGATACGATTTATGGAGAGCTTCTGAAGGTTTATCGATCAAATGTATTTTAGAAAC